AAAGGTTATAATATTCAGTTAAATTTAAAGTATTTTTTTATTTACAGACCTTATAAAAATACTAAGCTATTTTTGGAGGTTAAAAGATTTTTTTCCCCATTTTTTAAAGAAAATCTGGCCCATGAAGTTTTAATATTCTAGTTAAGACATGACTGTAACATGAATTGCTAAACAGTCTTATTAATAAAAAACCTGGAGCTATGAATTGGGGTAAAAGCTGAAAGATCAGAGAGCAAGCCAGCCAAGTCTTACTTCTAGGAAATCATCAGCCAAAGAGACAACTACTTCCTGTACACTCATACCTATATACCTTTCTGAGCTCTGTCATCTTTCTTCTTCTCTCCACCCAGCTGTATCACTTCCTCTTCCCTTCAGGTTCTATCACTTCCTGTCTGTCTGTATAGACCTCCAGACTTCTATGGTCAACTAGTGCTGGGTTTAAAGGCATGTGTCACCATGCCAGGCTCTGTTCTCAATGTGATCTTGAACTCACAGAGATCCAGATGACTCTCTGCCTCCTAAATGCTAGGGTTAAAGGCATGGGCTACCACTGCCCAGTCTCTATGCTTAACATAGTTTCTAGCTTTTTCCTCTGATCTCCATGCAAGTTTTGTTTATTAGAGCACAAATAAAATATCACCAGAGATGACCATATATACTTTGAAAATATAATCCTTTCTTTTTTTTTTGCTTTGTACTTGTAGTTTTTTAAAGAATGACTGTAATGAAGGCTCACACAGAGCAATAATCCTAAATACATAAAATTGTTATAAAAAATCTCTATCTACTCAGGAGAGAAATGAAAGGAGTTAATCTTGGTCTTCTTCAAGACTGCAAAACCACATTTGGTACACTTGAGGCACAGGCATGCACACACACATACACATTGCACACAGGTGTGGAGAATTTAATGTGTGGATGAATGAGTTTGAGGGCAGAAGCTACTGAAGAAAAGATTTTTCTATCTACTTAGTGCTCATGGTGTTTAGCACACACATCTTGAATACATATGGCTACTGTTCAGCTAAAGGTTCCTCAGGTCTGAATGATGTTTCTTAAGCAATATTCAAAAGGAACTGTGAGTAATAACATTAAAAAGCAGGGATTCTGTGCGCGTGCAAGTGTGCGTGCGTGCGTGCATGCATGCGTGCGTGTTTGTGTTCCTCTTTTTTTCTTTATTGCTGTCTTTGTGAGTGGTCTGTCTTTTTCCTTAGAAATAAGATGTGGTGAGAATATCTTCATGTCAAGTTATCCAGCATCATGGTCTCATGTAATCCAAAGCTGGTTTGATGAAGGCAAATATTTCAACTTTGATTCAGGCCCAAATCCACCTGATGCAATAGTTGGAAATTATACTCAGGTAAGAAAAATATTCTCTGTAAGTGCTAGGCAAGGGAATATTTTTAATTACTTGACTGATTTCAATAAAGAATTTCGGGGCAGAGAGTTTTTATTTTCTTTTTGAGACACGGTCTCACTCTGTAGCCCAGAATGGCTTTGAACTTCCTGTCATCCTATCACATTCTCCCAATTTCAGGGCGTATAGAGAGAGTGCACACCATCTGTACACCTTGGGGAAGATCTTGAGTGGTTTGTTGTTCATTGGTCTTGACATTCATTTGCTATTTGAGCTGCCAGCTTTTAATGGCTTATCTAATCTTTGTAAGGGAACATACTTGATTATTTTCCTAACCATAATTTCTTGACTCAAGTCCCCAAACAGGGGTAATGGCCTATATTCTAAGGCACCTCCCCAGACTTTAACAGGACTGTATATCAGTTGTGTATGGCTCCTGAGTGAAAAAGGGAAAGTCTCCTGGACTTTTATTACCAGAAAACCTGAACAGCTACCTTCCTGCTGGATCTAAAGGCCAGGGCCTTGGGCCCTTTCCTATCAAATAAAATGACTCTTTTAGCAAGAATTATAAGATTGTGGCTCCTTCCTGTCCACTGTCAAAGAAGGCCTTCCATAACTAGGAAGTAGGTGATATGGGGATCCTGATTGGCTGGGTAAAGGAAAGATCCATTTGTGGTACAGGCATGGGTCAACTCCCAATCTCTGACCTGATCAGATCCTGTAGGCTGACAGACTTGAGCTTAAACAGAGTTTTAGGAGGAAACTAGGATATTCAATGCCAGAGCTCCACAAAGGAGCATCTACCACATACAATGTCTGGGAAATATGCTGAGTGCTGGCCTTCCATCACGATGAACCAGAAAGGTTTGCAAGCCACTCATGATCCCTGTCCACACAGATAAGAAGATACTCATGATCACAGCTTAGAGTATCAAACTGAACAATCTCTTCTATGATACTGGGAGAAAGTTCTTTTTCATCTTCCAAGGCCAGGGTTCTATGGACATAGGACACTTGTTTTTGCAAAGGCACTTCAGAGTAGTCACCAGCAACATCTTGGTCAGTTTGGTGTCTGACCAGGAGTTGACCTGATATCCAGATTACCCTTTAGCTGTTTATGGTCACATGCCTGTAGAGCTGAAACTAGTGTCAGAGGAGTTAAACATCACACCAGTGTCTTCCTAGTGTCCATAGATTCTTTGATGCCTTTCATTTTGACACAACGCTCTTTGGCCTCATCCCAGCTTTCTGTATCCTCATCATCATGGAAACTGTCAAAGATGACAAAGAAGAAGAAAGCTTCTCTGAGATGGAGCTGAAGCCACTCTCAGCCTTCATAAACTCCACTGAGTGCTTCCCGAAAGTTCTGCCGGACTAGCTGACCAACAGCAGCTCCTTTGGGAGGTTCTCACATCTGTAGTTTGATTCAATCACTTAACTATGTCTATAAGGCATATAGAAACAAAGTATACCAATGGTGTTTCTAATTTTGTATTTGTTGTTCTGCATTATTTTTCTATCTGACCTGTTCCTTGTCTTTGTCTCTGGGTGTATAGGTTGTTTGGAATTCATCTTTCCAAGTGGCATGTGGAGTTGCTAAGTGTTCTCACCAATTATTGCCATTCTTATATGTTTGTCACTATTGTCCTCCGTAAGTATCCACTTCAAAGTTTATTTTCAGCAATGTCAAATGCAATTTGACATTTTTAAATTATCATAGTATAAAAACAAATTAAAGATGTATTTTTACATGGAGAGGGAAATATAAACTTCTAAATATTTCCTAGAGTTGAAACTTATTTAACTAAATCTTTGAAATGTCCATCTCATCACTTCCATAAATCAAACTCAGAAGCATTTTACTTATCTTTAAAAATAATCTCTCTTCCCTCCTCAATTGCTGTTTTCTAGACTAATGGTGACCTTATGAGTACCCAAGTATGAGGATTGTAAATTGCTATTGTCAGTTCATGCTATGTTTGTAGGCTACAAAGCAAGCTTTTAATAGTAGACCAGGAGTGAACATGAGTGAATTACACAGGTTAGTGATTGTGGTGCTTCTAATTAATTGATCCTACCCCTGATTATATAGGTTGTTGTATCTGTTTTTAAAATTTAATTGTTGAGGTGTGGTAGTGTTTCACACTTTTAATCCTAGGACTTGGGAGGCAGAGTCAGGCAATCTTTGTGAGTTTGAGGCCAGGCAGGACAACACAGTGAATAGTTTCCCAAAATTCCAAAAAAAAAAAAGTTTGTTTTATTTTTTGTGAATTTCATATAGGAGTACTGTATTTCCTTCATTTCCATACTTCCCTCTGCTTGAAATCTTCTTATCCCACACGTCCTCACAAATTCATGATCTCATCTTTGTTATTGTACTCGCACAAAGCCTAAAATGGACAACCATAGATGCAGATGTAATTAAAGTATTTTTTTAAAAAAATTCAGTTAACATTCAGATTATGAATATATATTCATTGTTTTCATGGGAATTTTTTTAAGAGTTCAAACATAGCATAGAAGGGAAGTAAATTTCTAGTTTTAAAATCAAGATATAATAAATGAGTTTTTCAGAATTTTTTAGTAAATTCTAAGGAAAAAGTGTTAATATTTTAGCGTTCTTAACTATTTGAAATATATGAAGGACCTCTCAACCAGTCTTTGATGTTTAAGACTTAGTATATTCTTACAGGTATAAGGTAGCAACATTAGGGCTATAGAGATGACTCAGTAGTGGAGAATTATTGCTGTTCTTTCAGAGAATCAAGGTTTGATACCAACAACTATGTCAAGTAGGTCATACCTATTTTTAACTTTAGGACTAAGGGCCTATTCTGGCCTTTGTGGGTGTATGGGTGTTCACATGCATAAATAAAGCAACGGAAATTAATCTTGGAAAAATAGCAAGCAGGCTAGTCATTGTTACAGTTTTGCAGAAAGATAAAACTATTGGTTATTTTCTCCCATGGCAGCTTACATAGCATCTTCTAATCCTATGAGAGCTAATCTGCAGGAAAGAGGCTTCCAGGTCAATTCCAGCTCATTTTCTCCAATTCCTGTGTCTGAAGTTGGTGATGTTTTTAACAATAGGCTCTTATCTTTGAGTTCATGGAGGCAACCAAGTGTGTTAACAAAAGATTATATTAACCTGGATAAGGAACTATAGGTAATCTATGGGTGTTAAGAAAGGATCAGTTTTCTTCATGGAGGAGACTCCTGATAAGTTATCCAAGTCCCAGGTTGTCAACCCTAAACACTTGTGAGGACCAAAGTCATCATTTCCCCTGGAACTGGAGTTACAGACATCTGCAAGCCACCTGAAGTGGAAGCTGGGAACCAAACCCAAGTCTATTAAAGGGGAATGTCCTCTTAAGTCCTGAGGCATCTCTCTAGCTCTACTATTCTTTTAATACAAGAAACTTATACAACAAGAGGCTGAGGGTCTTCAAATCAAGTCTTTCAAATCATTCCTTTCTAATCTGTTTGTGGGTTGAATAGTAGGATCCTCAAAGAATTTTCAAGCATGATTCTGTTGGCATTAATTAATACAAAGAAGGAAGCCACTGGACTCCATCCAGCTGCCTGGTCAAGTAAGCATCTAGAGCCTGGTACCTAGAAGTGTTAGATGGGTAATGAGGAGGAGCAAGTGAAAGATCTTGTACAATGCTTCCTGACTTTTTCATTTTTAACATTGCTTGTACACCTAGAGCAGTGTTCTGCATATAGAGGAGAGGTTCTGCTGAAAGCCCTTGGTCATTGCACACACACCCTGCCACCCTTAGTTCAATGGAGAATCTGACTTTTCTAATTTCCTGTGATGATCAGCTAAGTGATGCTCCGACTGAGGCATTGGTTGGCACTTTCAGAATACTGCACACTTCAGATAGTTTATACAAATAGTTTTTTCTCATTAATATTCTCATTTTGATAAGCATAGAAGTCTCAAACCCACACGCTACCTTTAGGAAACCATAAACATTCCTAAGACTTAGGACTTTAACAATTACACACTAAATACTTGAAACTCAGCACATCATTGGTACCTCCTCCACACTATAGGAACCACAGCATTTTCTTGTATCTAACTTTCTCTATAGGAAATATCTTTTATACTTAAGCAGCATTCTTGTCTTATGTATTTTTCAGGTTTATCAGGAAAGAAGAGAGTGTTTTAGCAATAAAACATTTCTAAACCTTTAGATTCTTATTTATTCTATTTCAATTGCTCAGGTTCTGACATGATGGTTGAGGGAAAATGTGAATGGATTAATTATCCCATTATTTCACATTTATATCTGAATACTCTCAGGAAATGTTAGTTGTTTTTGTATGGCATAACTAAAGCTTTTAATAGGATTCCATATATATATATATATATATATATATATATATATATACACATGTGTGTGTGTGTGTGTATTTGAGTATACAGGAAAAATTAAAAGTATTTGATGTTTTCTATTTCAATTTCAGTGGTAATATTGAAAGATGGCAATACATCCCTTACACAATAGGGAAACCGTGTGCCCTTTGTCCTGATCACTGTGAAGATGGACTCTGCAGTAAGTTTTATTAACATATTAATATAATAATATCAAATCTGTTTTAAGATTTAATAGCATGGCCTTATTTTCAAAGAGGATTTAGAATTACAAATTTTCCTGTTTAGGATGTATGTACTTTTGACATTGAAAAACAGGATACTCTATGTTGTCTAAGGAAACATCTAAATCAGTGCAAACTTGCAACTGTATTGGTATTATTGCTATTGGAGTCTACAGAAATATTCCTGTGGCTATAATTCCACAAATTTCAAGTGAATTTTCATATCCTCAATAATAGTAGGATCTTAAGGTTGGCATTTTAAGAAGACAAAGCAGTATAAATCTAAGTGGTTGAGATAATAGTACACAGATCAGCCCAGAGAAGGAAGAAATATACAATTCTTTGCCCACCAAGGAGCTTAATACAATAAATTCTTAAGCTCCTCCAGAGCATCATTTGAATTTTGTGTTGCATTTTTATTTATTTGTGAAAGGGTATTTGTGTCACTCTGTATATGTACAGACACATGCATGTGTGAAATGTCTTCTGTGTGTGATTGTGTGTTGAGGTTAGAGGACAACTTGTGTGAATTAATTCTCTCCTTCCATAATAAAGGTATGAGAGATTTCATCACAGGAAGGAAGTTAAATGAATGTCATAGTATCTAATTTTCAGTATTATTATGAATATAAATACAAAGAATTAATGTAACCCCAACATTCTGTGGGCAGAGGAAGGAGAATCAGGAGTTCAAACCCAGGTTGGAATATTGATCAAACTACGGGTAAGCCCAGGCTACATAAAGGAAATGTAACAGCAATAAGGTATTTATAAACATGGAAAATAACATCAAATTTAATGTAGAAAATTTTGGTGGCAATTTCTGGGATTTTTGTGCATTCTCCAGTGAATTACAGAATTCTTTATTGTGCATTTGTTTAAATAAAGTTCATAGTACTAATGATATGAAAACATGTCTTCAATTGCTGTGTACTTGGAACTGAATTAATTGTTATCAGATAACATTTTCCCCAAAAAATTGTGCTGGACTTAAACATGGCTAATATAAAATGATCTCAGCCAGACTCTAGAAGTCCTGAACCAGCACTGTTACCATAAAGTCAGGCTGACTTTCATTCTTATCTCTTCATGGATCATGTTTTTTTTTTCCTCCTGCTGGCTGTAAAGCCTGCAGTGAACCACCACACAAAGTGAAAGAGGACTAGCCATGTGGCTGTAGTGCTGCTTCTCTGGAGGTGGAATTATCAGAGGTATATGATTGTATGGGCTAGATTCTAGCCTAGGCAACAAATAAGTATCTCAATGAAAGGTACCAAAAGTACAGGGTATAAACAAGTTATTTTGAATGATTTGGTAATTATGAGTTTCCAATTCTCTGAGACTGTGTAAGTTGAACGGAGGTTCATGAGCTCTCGAAATACATCAAAGACATGACAAAGACTGTAGGGTGAATTTCAAATGAGTTTGCTGGGTTTCTGGTCACTACTGTACATTTGAATATAAATATTTAATAATCAGGAGAAAATTTTCCACTACCTACTATTCCAAGCCTCTGTTTTCACAAAATTAGCTCCTCTTGTATGAAAAACAGAATCAAAGTCTAGGGCAATCATGGACAACAGAACATTCTGGAATGACTTAATGGTCAGTATTTTTACATAAAGAGACTGCTAGGAACAGTAGCTATAAAACATATTTATGAAACTTGTTTTGCTAAGAATATAGAGTTTAAATATGAACCATTCACAAGTTTAGAAATTACTTGCATAATGACTGACATTATAAATAGTGGGGTTCTTTTTTAGTATTTATCTTTATCTTATGTTTATAAATGTTTGCGTGCATTATGTATTTATGCACACACATTTGAACCCAGTGACCACGGAGGACAGAAGAGAGCATTGGGTCCCATGGAACTGTAGTTACAGGTGGTCTTAAGCCCTGATGTGGATTCTGAAAATCAAAACCGGGTTCTCTGCAAGAAGAGCAAGGACTCCTAATCACTGAGCCATCTTTCTAACCTCTAGATAGCTTAGTTCCTCAAAGAACCACTGAAGTTAAATTTCTCCAGCATTTTGTGAGTGAAGAAATACATTAATTCATATCAAAGAGATGTCATAAAGCTCTAATTTTAAAGGACATCCATTCATTTGCTCAATCCCCTTCTCGCAATTTATGTGTTTTATTTTGTCTCTGTTAATAGAGGAAAATAATAACAAAATAATGGATTCCTTTGTTTTTTTTCAGCAAATAGTTGTGAATATGAAGACAAGTTTTCTATCTGTGAAGAATTGAAGGCTTCACTAACCTGTGACTATCCAATGGTTAACCAAGTGTGCAAAGCTACATGTAACTGTAAACGCAAAATTCATTAAATTTCTAGTACAAATGAACAGGGCCATGTGAAGAAAGAGCACCTCCTCTACTTGGGCTGGTCACATTCCACTAGAAAATCTGAGGTATAGATACATTGAAATGATTCCAAACAGTAAATATTCTTTTCTTCTCTATTGTTCTATTTAGTAGAAATATTTTACATCCAAAGATTTTGAAATAACATAATCAATAATCCCTTTGTACTTTAACCTCTGAATTCTGTGACACATTTATGGAGTTAAGTCAAGCCCAAGGTTATACTCTTTGTCTGTATGACTAAGGTCACTGAAACTCCATCCTGAAAAAAAGAATCAGGTTCCCAGAGCACAACAGAGTAAAGGAACAGCCTATACTTGAACTGTAACTGTCAGTCATCTTTCCTAGCTCTGCCTAGCTATTATATCTGAAAACAAATCCCCATTAGCTTTCTTTGATTTCTTTCCACCATTTGCTCTTCTTCACATGCGCTGGAATTAGTGGTTCAAATTCTAAACTTCAATTTACATTTTAGTTGTTGAGTTTTTCAAGAACCTTATAAAAATGAAATGTAATGAACAGAATTTGCATATTCAGGTGCCTGTGTTGACCTTGATTGTTTGAAGAAATTTAAATAAATCTTACTATTTGCATATTACTCCTCTCCTAGGATTTGTTTGAATTTCTGATTTGGAGTTTGTTTATTCCAGTATGGTATTATAATGTTTATGATACAGTTATTTAATTTTTATTTACATTAAGGTTCTTAGTCTTCACAAGTGTTTACACTAATTAGTACACACTTCAATTAATATGCAAGAGTGGAGCTGAGTTTGATAAATATTCCTGATCCTACTCCTGGCATATCTAACTTTCAGTCCTAACCCAGATCTTATATCCACTGTGCCCCCACAGACAGTGAGTCCAGTGGACCCTAGAACACCTGAATAATCCCAACTGTAAGACATCCTGTGCACTGGGATAACTCTGATGCACCATAGAATCTAATAACAGACATACAATCAATGAAAGAAATCCACATTTGCTGGTCAAATTACTAAATAGTTTTTATTTACATTAAGGTTCTTAGTCTTCACAAGAGTTTACACTAATCAGTACACACTTCAATTAATATGCAATAGCGGAGCCGTGTCTGATAAATTCCTGATCCTACCCCTGGCATATCCAACTTTGAGGCCTAACCCAGATCTATATCTGCTATGTCCCCACAGACGGTGAGTCCAATGGACCCTAGAACACCTGAGTTCATCCCAACCTTAAGACATCCTGTGCACTGGTAGAACTCTGATGCACCATAGAATGTAACATCAGACATACAACCAATGAAAGAAATCCACATTTCCTCGTCAAATTGCTAAAACATAATATTTACAGCCCCAACAGTGTGACCCCATTCCACCAAATCCTCTAATTTAACAGAAATATTTTACAATGAGAATGAGCCTCAGGGCACAAAATCTTTAAAACATCACAAAATTTTATCGAAGAATTTGAAGATTTAAGGAAGACATTGTGCCTGAAGGTTTTCCTATGCTCTGCCCAGAGGGCAGTTGGGAAAAGTCTTTCTCACTCATATCCCTCAAGTAAGCACACAGAGGCTTATATTAATTAAAACTGCTCAGTCATTCGCTCAGGCCTAGCACTGACTAGCTCTTACACTTAAACTCAGCCCATTTTTGTTAATCTATGTTTTGCCATGCATTCCATGGCTTTACCTTTGTGCCATTGCATGCTGTTCTCTGGCTGGTGGGCTGGTGTTTCCTTACTCAGCCTTCCTCTTTCCAGAATTATCCTTGTCTGCTTATCCTGCCTATACTTCCTGCTTGGCTACTGGCTAATGAGCGTTTTATTAAACCAGTATACAAAAGCATTATCCCACAGCAAGACATTAACAAATATCTCAAATAACATAGAGATAGTGCCTGAGTGATGTCTAGTGTGTGTGTGTGTGTGTGTGTGTGTGTGTGTGTGTGTGTGTGTGTGTGTGTGTGTGTGTGTGTGTGTGTGTGTAATATATATATATATATATATGCAAAATGATGAAGACAATTCAGAATTTGAAAACTATATTCAGGAAGAGACAGAAATATTAAAGGTAACTCCAGATGAAAGAATGGTGGAGTTGAAAAAGTCACCAAAGCTCAGGGGAAGGAGATCAAGTAGATGGATGGAGTAGATGATAGAATATCAAGACTTAAAGAAAAGTCCAAAGAACTGGTCCATTCTAGTAAAGAATTTAAAATAATAAACAGGCACATATAGGAAAGCAACATGCAAAAGTGTGGTGTGCCATGGAAACATCAAATCTTGAACTTCTAGGCGTAGAAGAATGAAAATATTTTATTCTCCTTCAGTTATTCAGATAGTTTTGCTGGGAACAATAGTCTAGGTTAGCATTCATGGTCTTTCAGAATGTGAAATACATTGCTCCATGCTATTCTTGTTTTTACATTTTACATTGAGAAATCAGCTGTTAATCTGGTTTGCTTTCTTCTATATTGACCTGTGGATTTATTTTGCAGTTCTCAGGATCCTCACTTTGTTCTTTTTATTTGGTGTTTTAAATATAACATTTTATGAGTGTCTCTTTTCTAGTCTTGTCTATTTGGAATTCTTTGTGTTTCTTCTGTCTGTTTGAGTAAGTCTGTTCTCAATTTGGAGAAATTTTTTCTATGATCTTTTTGGAAATATGTTCTATGTTATTGAACTGCAATTATTTTTTCTTCCCTCACCCCCAACCAAGTCCCTCCTATGTGCAGTCTACTTGCTTGTTCTCAAAAATAAAATAAGTAAAATCTCTTCAGAACAGGCTTTTTTTTTATGGATGACCTTATACTTAAGACATAAGAAAATTATACTGAATGTATGTTTAGGCCACTTTGATGAAGAGCTAAATCCCCTTTTTTTCTGAAACTTGAGTCACTGTTTTGAAATTACTTTCTACTAGAAAAATGCTCAAACCCCCATTGTGTCTATATTTTAAATAAGTTTTTATTAAAGCATCAACAATAACAATTGGTTAATAATAATGATAAAGAAGTTATATAAATTCTTTTTAAAATGTACTACTAGAAATGAAGGCACCGACCGATTATCACTAATAATAACCTAATAATAAAGAGGTGATTTTAATACCACACTTTCTCCAATAGAAGTCACGTAGAAACATCAGAATTACATAGCAAGAAATATCAAGTAGACCTAAAGTATTTCTGAGGAATATTTCACTAAACACAAAAATATGTACATATTTTATTTAGCTTCTCTACAAGTGACATCACAGTGGGACACAAAACAAATTTTAACAGATTCAGACGAACTGAAAGAACTTAATGTATTATACATAACTCATGCATTAGAAGATTAAATTCAACAGCAAGCAATGCTTTATTAATTACATAAACTCATGGATATTAAATAACACAATATTGTCTTATTCCTAATGATATTCTGCTACACTCATAGACTGATTCATAGTCCAATGATTATCAGAGAGACTTCACCCAGCACCTGATGGAAACGATGCAGACCCAAAGCCAACATTATGGGGAGATCATGGACTCCTGTGGAAGAGGGAGAAGAAAGATTGTAGTAGCCAGAGGGGTCAAGGACACAATGAGAAAACCCATAGAAACCATTAACCTGGGCTCATAGGTGCTCACAGAGACTGACCTGCCAACCCTTATATACCCTCTGCATGTATGTTACAGTTGTGTAGTTTGATCTTCTTGTGGACTCATTACAGTGTGAACAGCAGCTGTCTCTGATTCTTTTGCCTGCTTTTCTGACCTTTTTCCTCCTATCAGATCACCTCATCCTGCCTTAATACAAAGGTAGGTGTCTAGACTTACTGCAACTTGATATGCCATGTTTGGTTGACATCCATGAAAAATCTGCCCTCTTTTAGAGATAAATTGAGGAGTAGTGGATATTGGAGCAGAAAAGACGTGGGGAAGGATTGGGAGAAGATGAAGAAGGAGCAACTTTGGTCAGGATGTAAAAATTAATAATAAAATAATAAGAACAGAAACTTCACCAACAAACTTAATCTACAAAGCTGGTATTACCTAAAACAGAAACCAGGCAAAGTAACAACAGCAAGAGGAGGAAGATGAATAGGAGAAAGTGAAAGAGAAGTAGAGGGAGGGAGAAAGTGAAAGAAAAGGAGAATGATATTGATGATTATGATAATTCTGGCCAATATCCCTAATACACATAGGGGCAAATAACACCAATAACTACTTGTAAACTAAATATAGGCATATATAAAAAAAATTAATCCACATGGAATCCAAAAGGTAGGATTCGTTTAGGAGATTCACAGGAGGTTTATCATACATAAGTCAATATATACAATAATTACAAAAAAAAACATAATATCTTCTCAATAGATGCAGAAAAGACCTTTGACAAAATGCAGCATTGTTGCGGGATAAACCTTTGCTGTCATTGTTAATAAAAAGCTGACTGGCCAATGGCTAGGCAGGATTTTTGGGGCAGAG